TATCCGCTACGAAAAATCGTAATCGAATATGATACGAATGATATTTCTTTTCAAGAGCGTTTTGAGAAGATGTGCTGGGTCCATAATAAACTGACGGATTAAGGCATGCAGTTCAAGGAAAGCAGATTGAGGATAGATTTTGGCTACATCAGTGACTTCATAAAGAATAGGAAAATGACATCAAAGTAACAAGAAAATATAAACTTTGGAATCGTATGAATGGATAATGAGAATACTTAGAAGTGGGCAACGTAATAGGAACTGGTGGTACCAAGATGGAACAAAAAAAAAATAATGGTATTAAATATGCTTTGTAAAGCGACTTCTGATTTCACGTGTCTGGGATGTTTTAGTCGTATTAAATAACACCCGTAATTGGGGACCCACAATGCCCCAATTCTGATGTGAATGTGTACAAATGATTTGTGAAGTAATAAATCATAATCATATAAAAAACATAGAAAACTAGAAAGAAATATTTTATACGATTTGCAGCATGTTTGATTTAATTATTTGCAATTCCTACTTAAGATACGAGGATGACTTTCAACAGGTTACAGCTTTCCATTATTAGGCAACGATGAACATCTCACTTATTTCCGCTCGGTTCGTCATGAGAACACACCACCTCAGCCAGCCTAGAGAATACCGTCTCCCATCTTTGTACCACAATGCAGGTTCATCCTGGTTCATCAGTGGACAGTTATTCTACTTCAGTGTGGCTCAATGCGGCATAAAATGTCGTAATTTGCAATTAAAATTTTCGAACACCATATCACAATTGCATACACGAAACAAACTACATGAAAAAAAAGAGCTTTGAAGCAGACTTTAAAAATCGTTTTTCTAGACTGAGTAGTCGTACCCTTCCCCCTCTTAGGTGAATATGAACGGAATGTTGTAAGCGTTTTTCTTTGAAAATAAAGAAAAGGTTGCTGCTACATTCAATTACTAGTTATCCTAAAAAATTCAGTGGCTTAGATCGAATTATAAATATTTTATATTATAACTCCAAGCGATCATATCATATTTGAGATGTAAGTCGATTCCCCCCCTCAAATTGTATTAATGATATTTTAACAATAACCCGGGTTTTCTTGTTTTAATATAGGTTTTTATGCATTGTTAATGTATTGTTCACTTTGGAATTAGTTACATGAACAGATGCCATTAGTTACTCAAAAGAATAAAACAGCAAAAAAAGGCGTTTTGATAACATGAGATGATGAAATATTAGAGCTACTTTCCAGATTTTTGTGAAAAGGAGGGAAAAGTTTTGTTTTCAGAGAAAGTTTTGGGCCCGAAAGAGAGAAGAGATTTATTTAATATTTTCTTGAAACATGTTTTTTGATCAACTTTATGTTTATACATGAATTTCAAACATAAATAAGCATCCTAATATATTTGTATAAAGTCTCTGGAAAAGTCTGGTACGGTCTGCAGATGCGCAGACGAGGAATAATGCTGACATGACCGGAGTCTCCCCCGAGCCAAGGCGACTGGATTATCAGAGTGTGGGAGGGTAGTTCGTGGGGGATTTACGCTCATTAAATCCGAGTGTTCGATAACAACTTAGTGACGTGACGAGTAAGCACCGCCAGTAAATACGTACTGCCCCCGCTGCCTTGCGAGTAGGGATTAGCCCAAAGGCTAAAGGGAGGAAACCCTGACAGGAAGACAATGGGCGAAGCGGGCCCTGACCGACTTCTCTAGGGGAGTACACCCAACACAAATCTAGGTGCTCCAGATTGGGGATTGGATCGGAGACGGCCAGTAATGCACCCACAGCCCCCCCAAAAGAAACAGGTTAAAGTCTAATCCTTGTAGGTAGAAGAAGACTCTGGAAAATGGAGATAAGCGTTGGTAATTATGGTTCAATTCCTCAAGAAATCATGAAATTGAAAGTATCTATGAAAAATATTTTGAGCAATATTCTGAGAGAGCGGAACTATATATTACCCTCAAAGCAACTCAGTTTACCAAAGAAATTGCCTTTTATATTACGGTTTGTAGGAATTGAGTCTTATTTTTATCGGAAGTGTGGTCCAATAATGTTTGTAGTTTTTCATATGCAGATGGTAATGAAAGTTGACAATGTTTTCGGGTTATGAACGTAGTAATTCTTTATAACTGCGTATTGAGGTTGGCAGTGTTAGTGATTTGAATTTTTAAAATCAATAATACATTACACGGACCATAATTATACGGATACACTTGATATAAGAAAGAGGACTGATATCTCTAGAATTTAGAAACATTGTTTATTATCTTGAAGTGCCATTGTTTTACATCTACACTGATATGTCCCAAATATGTATTCTCACTATTTGAAAATAGTTATAAAGTAGTGAAATAATAGTAATAATAATAATAATAATAATAATAATAATAATAATAATAATAATAATGATTTGGTTATGGCTTAAAAATAGATTAACGAACACACTCTAGAATAATGCAGTGATATGTGACCTGAAGGGATAATTTTCTATTGCATGCTTCACAGCGCATTACACAACGTTACTGTATACGGATGCATACAGTATACAGATATTTCGGGTTCAATAAGGATTGTTTCAGATGTCACATTATGCTGACGGAAGTTACTAACACAAAGATTTCAAATGTGAATATGCAAATACAATAAGTACAATTCTATAATTCAGGTTACAATATTAGCTACATTCAAGTTGTTATAATATGACGGTTCTAGGCATCCTACAAAGCTCTAATATTTGAAATACCATTTCTACTTTTTTTTACCCCCGAAAATTCAATTGCAAATACTTATTTTTAGGGAAAAAATTCTCTTTGAATTATTAAACTCTTTCAACCAAAAAGGAACAATTAAAATGAAGTCTTAGAGCTTGATGTTATGGTGGGTTGATGTGTGGTGCTTATGGTGGTTATCTAGTGGCTTGATGTTATGGTGCATGGTGTAAAGAGAAAAAATCAAGAATAATGGGAGATGTATTTTGAAATGACAAAGCAGAAAAAAGAAAGGTAAGAGTAAATTACATTAAAACTGGAGCGGATAAACGGGGAGGCAAATGAGGCAAATTCCCCCTTCACAATTTTTCTGTAACTATTAATTTTATCTTGTCACGAAACGTTTACGCTAATTTTTTTTGGATAATGATTAATACGAATAAAATCGTATCGTTCCACGAGCTGAGTGTGTCTACGAGATTTTACAAAATCTGTAATAACACATTCGACCAAAACATTTTTAATATCCCCTCTCAAAATTTGTCTCTGAATCCGCCCCTGATTAAAATATAATATAAAGAGAAGCGTCCCTAAAACTGTGATGTTGACTCCAAAACATGACATTTAGATTGCGGAGCGAATTAACAAATGAAAGAAGAACCAACACGATCACAAATGAATTTACTAGCACTAAGTAATGTAAATGTAATGAAGCCATTATATAGAAATTTCGAATATCCGTTTCACTGAGACCTTTTTTAAAATGAGTAAATCGATAATGATGGAAACAAAAATAAAAAGGTAACTCAAATTTCACAAAAATGAACCCAATACAGAAGTCAATATGGATGAATAAACTCATGCAAGTAGTACTGTACTAATGTATTACTAAATAATGCACTGCATCCTACAAAAATCAGGAAACTTCCTTTTGCGCCATTACATTAATATCCTGTAATACGAGGCTGAGAATTAAGAACGCAACCCTCACTGAGCTACAAAAACTTGCACAGATAGCCGCAGATGAAACGTGAGAAAGGGGCGAATGGAAACAGACGTGCAGAAGAAACAAAGAAAAAGTGAAAAAGTCGAACAGATATATGCAGAGATTGTACAGGTGATTCCGAAGCAACGACGGAAGACAGGTACAGATGCGCCCGTCCCCATAAAAAGAAAAACGAAGTCGCAGAAGCACATGTTCTGAGGAAGTAAATTGAGCATCACGGGCGCCTGAGGTACCTGGAGGCGTGGTCCGTCGGCGAACTGGCTCTCTCCGCTGGCCTTCCCCTAAGCGCGCGCTTCTGACTCGCCCTCCGCCGCGTTGCCGCCGCTGCTTCCGCCCGCTGCTTCTGCGCGCGTCGTCTGGGCTGCGCCAGCGTTCGCCGGCCACTGACTGCTGCGCCGGGCGCATCGCGCAGCGCTGCGCGCCGTCGAAGGCCGAGGCCGGGAAAGCGGGTCAGCGGGTCCACCGCCCCTCCCCCTCCGCCTCCGCCCGCCCCCCCCGCGCCGCCGCCGCGACCCCGATCCGCTGCCAGGTCTGGTCTCCCGTCTGACGCACCGGCCGCTCGCTCGCTCGCTCGCCCTGTGACTGCCCGGGGGGTTGATGCAACTGCACAGCGAATTCCGCCACGCCATGGAGACTGCACGTGGAGGAGACTCGGCGTCAGTACCCGGCATTGCAGGGCCTTGTGGAACTGCAGTTGATGTGACTCGTCCATTGCGATGTCAGATTCCCGACTTCTTAGAGCCACATGGAACTGGTCGGCCAGGAGTGATCGAAAAATGATTTATAAAAACATTCAGAGATCAACATTGTCAATTGATACAGCGTTGACAGGTATATGATAATATGAAAATATGATAAAAATATAATTTATAGTATGTTGTTAAAAGATCCAGTGATCAAGATTCTCCATCAATTAATACAGCGTTGGTAGGTATCGGTTATATTTCGGTTCACTATTTGTGTGGATTTAAAAGACAACCAAAGTACTCGTATAAGGTGATGACCCCACAAATTAAACCAGCCCCCCCCCTCCTCTACGTTATCTTGCGTGCATGTATTCCGTACGATTCTGACATTCCAGGTGATTTGCCATACAGTGACACCCAACATATCAAGACTTGGTGAGACTAAAGGTAACTCGCCTTATCGGTTCCAGTGTCAAACACCCGACATTGCAGGGCGTGATTGAACTGCAGAAGGCGTGCGTCATTCAATGCAATGTAACACTCGCGACATCTTAGAGCTACGTTGGATCTGCAGGTGATCTGTTTCGTCGTATGTCGTGTCAGACTTCCAACATCTCAAGGCTTAATACAGTGTCAGAGTTCCTGAATTGCAGGCCGTGATAGAATTGCAAATGATGCAACTCATTCAATGCAATGACTCCACACATCTTGGATTCAGAATGAACGGAGAGTGATCTGCCTTGTCGGATAGTGCCAGACTTCAAATTCTCAACTTGACAAAACTGAAGACGACATGCCTCATTAAATGCACTGTCATTGCAGAGGAGTGATGGAACTGCAGATAACGGATCTTCCCGAATAAAACGTCTCAATTCTGACGTTCCCAAGCATGATGTAATTGCTAATGATGTGCTTCATCAAACACAGTGTTCGTCTCTCACCATCTTGTGGCTTAATTGAATTGCAGGTGATTTGTCAAATAGGATACAGTATTTCCATTATAAAATCCTCACGTTTGATGAAATTGTAGAAGATGTGTTACATTTTATGTAATATTAGACTCTTCGAAATTGCGGGAATTAATGGATGATATGATTCCCCTCATCTTACACAGTACCTTGCTTCCATTTCTCCAATATTTGATGTATCTGTAGATGATAAGTCTCGTCAAATGCACATGTAGAGGCATTTCAGTCAGCAGACTTGCGGTGTCCTATTTCCAGATAGGACATTTGAGACAAGAATTAAGAGCTTTGAAACGGCCCTGGTTTTATTACAAATATTAAACATAATGTTTTGTAATTAATTTTAGATAAATATTTAATAAAAATATGATTTACAGAATGTTGTTAAAAGATCCAGTGATCGAGATTCTCCGTCAATACAGCGTTGACAGGTATCGGTTGTATTCCGGTTCACTATTTGTGTGGATTTAAAAGACAACCAACGTATAAGGTGATGACACCATGCATTAAACCAGCCCCTCCTCCTTGTTATCTTTCGTGCATGTATTCCGTAAGATCCTGACATTCCAGGTGATGTATTCTATCGGAGCGCATCAAGTTACCACACTGTAATCTGCGTCTCTCAGAGGCGAGGGGAGATCCGCCATTGTTGCAATTTCCTTTCTTACAATTTCATATAAGAATACTCTGGATAAAACCTGGAGCTTTAACGATATTTTCTATGATATAGTTTTCAATTATTTACAATGATTTCAAATATCTCGGAAACCCTTAATATAGAATCCCTAGACTTTTTCCTACAAATACTTTCAAACATGGTTAAAGTCCTTTCTCTTACAACAATATTTTATTAATCCAAATAAAACCTTCCTAAAATTTTGAGAAACTCACTACGTATTTCCTAACGTGTTTCGAAGAGCTCATTTAAATTATAGAAATCATGAAAGATGTCACGTTCCATATGTTTAATTCCACTTTTAACTTTCCTGACACACACTATGGTGTAAATAAGAGTAAATATTTCATCTTAGCTTTCGATGTTCTAAACTTTTAACCTCTTTTAAGATATTGAATCTATCAAAAATAATTTATTATAATTATTAAATAATAAACATAATAATAACCTTTTATCTTGTCAACTTTCTTTCTAGACAACTCCGGAAGTCTTTACAAATGATATTTCCGTGTTCTTATAGAATTAACTTCTTGATTTCGTGACTTCCTAAAATACTGCAAGAGTTTGGATTCTCAAAATTTGAGAATTTTTCGTCATTAAACTAATTATTTTACTTTTTATTCCAAGACTTCAGGTGTTTATGTTTTTTTACTATAAAATAAACAACAACTTGAATTATGCCACTTCTTTCTAAAACTATCATGGTTTATATTTAGATTCGAGCAATTTTTCGATCTATCTGCAGATTATCATATTTGTTGGTTGCAGGTAAACCTATTTGAGCTACTTCTCCTCTTTCAAAGGCTAGTGTTAAACGAAGAAGGAATAATTTATTGGAAAGGAAGGAAATATGCTGAAGGATAGTTGAGTAATTAGTACAAACGGCCGCAGCGCATGACCTTGGGGATACGTCTTGAAATTTCTTTTCAAACCAAGTAAGTTAAATATTGACCTCCTTCCTTCGCGTCTCGCAAAATATTATTAACAACTGCTTCGCGTAAACCAAAGACGGCCATGAGAATAGGAAGGGGTAGAGAAACTTCGTTTTGAATCCGTGTCAGTATTCATTTGCCTCCATTTGAAGTGTACAGAAACAAGTGCAGAGACACATACTCAAAGTGTTTTTTCGAACTTTTAAGAAAATTGGAAGAAATTTTTCCTGTAGAAAGTCTTTACACAGCACTTTCATTAGAGAACTTGAAACTACTACTTTACATCAATATGCGTAATACGAACGTTGGAAGGAACAGAATGTTTCTAGAGTGGTGCAAATCTGTAGATAACGGCTTGTTAGAATTTCCTTAACAAATAGTCCCGGAGGAGCCCGAAAAATAAACCTGGAAACATTACGACTGCAAATGGAGTGGTTTATGAAAATGAACTTCTACAAGTGTTTCTACTTCTTTTCAATTATTAGATAAACTTCATGCTTGTTTTTACGATTCTTGAGAACCATTTTCGCAGTTTAATGTATTTAAATTTTCCTAGTTGAGCACCTTAATGCCTGAATAGAAACATTTGGCTCTTTTCGTGGCAACACGTATTTTCTGTGCTCTTGTTGCACACCTTCCGTTTCAGTCTATTATTTTTACTTTATATAATATAGCACTGACATAATTTAAGTACTATAGCAACCGCGTTCCGATGAAAAATGTGATTTAAAGTTTTCTTTTAGATATTCAACTACAACGTGACATTGCCGTTAATAGACAAGTAGTTTATGTAGCAGAGTTATAATTCATTCCAGCAAAAAAGTATCCTTAGACAAGTACGTATACGAAGACATTATTCTGATACATAATATTTTTGTAATACATAAACCGGGTGTTACGTGCGTCAAAGAATGTACCCATGACTTCGCCAATTTGACGCAATTAGTATATTTTATTCACAGATTATTGTAATAATTAAATATTTATTTTCAAACGAATTTAAGTGTTGTGAAAGCTTGCAACCTAGTAATAACACATTCATATTATAATATTATAATTGTAATTAATATAAAAATTGTATTTTATACTTATTTATTGCTTTAAAGAATTGCAGACAATTGTAAGAAATACAAAATTTGCTAACGTAATGAACAAATGTCATCATTAACATGTATCTAAAGTTAAGTGTGAATGGAAAGGTTCGTGAGTTTACATATCTTTTTAAATACATAAACTCATTTTTATGCATGACACGGATAGTATATTCCAGGTCTGAAAACATGTCTTACGAAAACACAAACATCAATTTCATGAATAAGGAGTATTATAAATTTATTTTAAAAACAACTTAAACTCAAGAACATATAAACAAGACAGTAAATGAAGAGATCATGATATTTCACATACCGTCAATATCGGATCATTTACTTCTACAATGATGTCACCAAAACCCCCGCGTTCTCTCACGCATTTTCGGGTCCAACAGATCGCATCAAGGCCCCTCGACAGCAAAAGCTGGGCCCAGCGTGCAACCGGTGTGACAGCAGCGTAGCCTCCAGAGAGGACAGACCGGAACTCGGCCTCAAGAGGCAGCGGACAGCACTAGCCAGCACGCGAGGCTGCCTCCGGGGCCGTCGCGCCGCCTTTCGACAGGTTGTGTGAGAGTCATGCGTAATTCTGCGTCGACGCGCGTCGGAAGCGGGTCGGGATATTACGTAATACTTCCCTATACTGAAACCAGACCAACCAAAGAACGACTATTCCGTCTAAATTAGGAGTAGGCGAAACTTTTTTTGGAGAGAGACAAATTATACATTTTCGTGGCGAGGTCTACTTGATTAATTAGCAAGAAAGGTTCTTTTCGTGTGACTAGCATGTTGAATCTTGGATATCAGTGGTTAGTGGCACACGATATACAGATCTTGAACATGAGAGTGTGTTTCGTGTTTCCGGGCGCAATCACAATTTAGATCATTAGTTCTGTAAGTGTGGTGCATGCTATATCCAGGGTATATTTCATCACTAACTCGCTATAAGCTCGTTTTTGCCAACAAATTACTGTACTGAGAGGTGGCTTAGGGCATCAACTGATGCCATTACAGTGTCCCTGCTCTGGTGATCTGAGGTTCGAGTCCCGACGGTGGCAGGAGTTACGACACTAGTTAGATAGCTAGGTCGAAGCTCCAGTCGCTGTCTGGAGGAGAATTCTAGTGGCCGGCTGCTCTGAAGAGTAGTTTTCCGTGAGGGTTTCTCCAGTCAATACCAGGCGAATGACGGAACAGTACCCTAACAATCGGATGCACGATCTTTCCTTCTTCTTCCTGGTCCTATCCTCGCCCCTTACTTACACTTTCATGCACTACACTACCACACATGCCGGGAGACCGTTCAGGAGCTTAGAGCTTGTTCCAGCTGGGGCGGTTCCCTGCTGGCGGGAGATACCTGGTTGGGGACAACCCCTCTAGCCGGCAGGTAGGTCGGTGTCGGGTCTCACCATTTAGCAGTGGAAAATCACCTCCACCCCCCGAGGAGAAACATGAACTACACTTACAGGACTAACGACAGCAGTTGACGCGCCTGATATCACCAATCAATATATCAGATATTTGATTTTCCTGCAAATGCTGCGGCATTTTTTCTAAGTCAATAATATACTACGTGTCACATTGTTTAATCGAATAATAGATGAGCTGTGTCAAACATAAAAAAAACTAGAATAAGACAAAACATAATATAATGAATGTCCGAAGTCTCGTCATTCGACGGTTAAATTCTATATCGACAAGAATATGTTTTAGGACATTACGTTTTTGGTCATCAAAGACATCAAATTTTACATAAATCATTGAATCATCAGCATTTCATGATTTAATTTTCTGTCTTCTGTCTTCGTACAACCAGTTTGGGTTTTCTTGTTAGACACCAACCAATATTAATTTGCCTTCTTATTGTGCGGTTTACTTATTTAGTTTTATTTTACCTGAGATCTCTTCATTTTTTCATGACTAATTCTTTTTTTTACAGAATTCGTGGAACTGCTTGTATTTATAAAAAATAATTGGAGCAATTATTTTTAAATATTACAAGACGACTATTTCAACATTTAGAAGAGCGATACTAACAAGAATAATTACGCTTATATATGTGGATGTTACATCGAAATTCATTTTCATTATTCAGACCCATTAAGTTCAATCAATTAATTAGTTTCGACACACTAAAAAATAAACAATAATCCTTTTTCTAAAACAAATATTTTTAGATTGTTTTATATTATTATTTTCTCTCTTGCATTTGAGATGTTTCTGTTCTTCACAAAAAAAGTCTGTACTTCGTGAAGTAACCACCAACGTTTATGGCTTAAATCCATTGCGCGCTATCACACACAATTTCCGGTTCCTGATTCGCCAACAAAAACGAAGAAACTAGCAATTCTTAGCAATTGGTAATGGTTCATGATATGTCATGCTCCAAATGCTAGCACATACGTAATGAGAACGCGAGGAATTTGCAGCGTTGGTCAACAACATACGACGAACTCAACGGTGCGATGATTCAGGGAAAACAAGCACTTTTATACAGGAAATGACGTTTTTGGCTGCCTAATCCCGAACGTTTGAAAAGTCATACCGCCTTACCCCCAAAAAGTATGGTTACATAAATTGTCCTGGAAATGTTCAAAAGTTTCGGTGAGGCACATCTAACAAATTGTCCTCAAAGAACCGAAGGACGTGAGTCAATCGAGAACACTTCAGCACATGTTGTTGTTGTTATTATATTATTATTATTATTATTTATTATAATAATTATTATTATTATTGTGTCACTCAGTTTCATATTGTAGATGTTTGGAGGCATTATATACTTTTACTGTGGTTGTATGTTTCACGAGGAATATTCAGTTTTGGCAGATTACATAGTTTAAAAGTCCAATGAAAAATGTTGGAAAACTTCATTAATTAAAATACTTCATACTTATTGCAACATGAGATTGATTTCTATTCCAAAAGAGATCGCACTGAAAGATTTCGACAATAGGAACTGAGCAGTTTCTTTTGAACAAAGTGGGTGATCGCTTGAGTTTCGAACAAGCCGCGAGTTTCAGTATTGCAGTCCAAATCATCCATTTTGATATTTTTCAAATTATATATGTGGATATTTTGGACATAATACCATTTAATTCTTATTATATTTTTTTATAAATGCCAGATTCCCACGTTATTGTACAATTGAGTAATATTTCAGTGGGTGGACGTCTCATCCAGTACGGATTAGCAATTCTCTGAGAATTTACTCCGTTAAAAAATAAAACGATGGGTCTGTGGAGTCCATCTATGAAATAAATCATCCTTCTTTTTTCAATAGCACAGTCATGTAATTTATTAATACTAAATTTGTTATTTTATTTACAAATCTTTACTTAATGAAATGAAATCACATTGACATGTTATTACATTTAAGTATTATTTATTTTATCTATTGAAGGCCTTTTCAATGTTGGTCTAACCTTTTCTTTGCAAAGAATTACGAAGTTTTCCGCAACACTTCCGTTTTGTAATCGTCGATGCTGAAGTGAAGACGCCAAGACGTGAAGACTGACCAAGAAAAGTCAGATCCCAACCGGAAATCATCTGTTCCTTTTTTTATTTCCCGAAAATATTTATTTCGTCCGAAACATATGTAGGTTTTGGTACTAAATATTTAGTTCTTGTCTAGCATTGTACTCAATATTTAGTAATGAACACTGATCAGTGTTGACACATTGAAAAGAAAAGAGAAATTGAGGAAGTGCTTATGAACTTCGCTTACGATTAAACTTTCGCTGAACGCTGACTTTCCACTTATAAATTTTCAGAGAAATATTTGTTTCATGAATGTCACTCGCCAACTTTCAAGTAGTAATAAGAGTATCGTTGTACATCCAATGGAGATATCCAAGGTCAGCATTACCTGAAGTAGATGTGTTAGCAACAACTGCTCTGTGGTTTATGATTACCAAACAACTGAACATACGAGTATTACCCATTTCCTAAGAGAATATTTCCAATATGTTTTACTACAACATCCATTTATTAGCACACTCAACCCTCAAACCTTCAGCTTACCTCAAACAATTTCTCCCAACAAGAATCAAAAAGAGATTTACGTTCAACACATTTATAAATATTTTAACGGCAATTATTACTAATCGTAGGTACTTTTATAATTGGGTATGCTATGTGTAGAAGTAGATAAAGATTGTAATAGGTTTATGAATAATGTAATTGTAAAGATAAATTTGTAACTCAACACTAGATTCGGAAACGTGTGTATTGAGCTTAGTATATTTTACCAAAATACAAAAAGAAATAAATATGAAAATTAAATTAACATATCTATTAAATAAATAATAAATATATTTAACTAAAAATACATTTATAAAAATATAAACCGTAATGAATTCACCAAATATATGTTAACCATTTTTACCTATGTTTTGGTAGTCACAAGTTGCAAGTTAAAAAACGTGTAGAATGTAAAAGTGTTATTTGAAAATAACAAGTGAAAAATATTTTCTACTTTCTAATAATTGTATATAATTTTGATCCCTCTTAATTTTCATTTAAGTACTTTGAAAAAGAACCATTTATATCAAGAATTCGTTTTTAATTACTGAAATCATAATTTCAGCCTCTTACCCATGAAAAACTTAAAACTTAGCATTTTAAATATATTTTACCACGCAGACTCCTTGCTCTTACTTTCTAAGAAGTGTAGTGGGCGAAGGTATGTCTTTCAAAAGAATGCAAGCAAGCAAAAATCACGTACTGCAGAGTCCCAGTAGACAGCCTCAGTGTAACGGAAATGTCTGGGGGGTAATTTCCTTCCACATGACCTGAAAGATCAATTACAATAACCCGATCTCTCCCAGGTTACGATCATTAAAACAACATTATTTTATAATACTGTATAGTGTTTCGTAAAGGTAAAGGAACACATTACTTTTCCATTATCTCTCTATTTAAAATACAGAAAGTAAATATTATTGTATTATGCCTTTTATATGACATGATCGCAATAAAACTAGGTAAGTGAACTACTAATGGATCTTGCAAGGGTGCATCAAAAAGAATAAAGACAAATAAGTCATTGACAGACAGACACTTAAAATATCTTTAATCGAGATATTAAAAAATATTCCTGATTGGCAATACTGCCTTTCAGGGGTTTGTACATTTCTATTTTATATACAAATATAACATTTGAGCTGATAAACTCTCATTGTAGTAGATTTTTACCTTTTGCTAAATTACAATATTTCATACATATATTTATAAATTTAACGCATTCTCAATTTATATACAATACACATCCATACAATATTCATTCTGATATTCAGATACTCACATATTTCGTTTACATAGATACATTCAAAAAATATATTCACATTCATGGGTTGAAAATCTACAAATGGAAACATATATTGTGTGTTAAATTTAAGCATGAAGAAACGGTGAACAATATAGATTTTGAAAATACATAAATTTTTGGGACAAAATACATCAAACGAGATGCAACACAAGCTTAAACAAGTTGTATGAAAGGCAAGGCGCTGCTTGTGTCTAATGAAGGAAAAGACGAAACATAGCGAAGTGAACCGGGGCACATGACGTTTCTCTGCTTGAGCAAATTTTCCGGCGAGTGCCAAATAAGGCCAAATCTATTAGAAGACACTTGATAAAAGGCTCCAACAACAGCAATATATTATCCGCCCTGTTGAAGCTTTTCCAAAATGGCAAGTAGAAACGAGGCCGAGAAAAAGTGACCTGCATCATTTGTGGTTGGGACAATCCTACCGCAAGTGTCACAACACTGGGAGTCATCTGAAGAATCTTGTTCTCTAGAAGCAATAGCCGTGAAGTAACGTCGCCAAAAAATTAATTTTTTGCAAATGAATTAAAATACTGTTTCATGAAGTCGGCTGCAACATGAAGTCCTCAGGAATTTAAAGACTCCAAGAGCTAATCAATCGTCACGGACATAATGTGGAGGGCGTGAGTGATATAGTTAAGCTCATACTGTTTCATATGTCCGGTCTGAACACAGCTGGCTATTAAATGCTACAAGTATCTGAAGACACGACAGCTAAAAATAACTTTCATGCACGATAACCATAAGATATTCGATACAACACCATCCTCCTTAATAATCGTAAGAAAATTGAATGATTTAGTTGCTCTATAAAAATTGTTCTTCAATTTTCAATTCAATTCTTGTAAAATGTGTGAAAACGCATGTTACCATTATATTTTGCATAATTGGTTTATTTCATATTATGTCTAAGTGCCATGAATGCAAAATAAAATATTTATAACTATTATTCTACGTATTTGTGCTGATATTATCGCAACCATTGTTGTTACAACATATTTTGATTATTTTGATCTATGATCTCGGCGTTTTAACATGAATGCCGCCCACAGAATGACTGAACCAAAACAAACAAATCAGACGATTCAACCTTAAAACTAGTATCTTTATCTTAAAAGAAATTAGGCGGTGAAGAATTTGTTAAAATGATCACCGTGAACCTTAAGAAAATTCAAGGGACTCAAATCAAAAGACTTTTTTTGCCTAGAGCTTTTTTTTTTTCAGCCGACAGCCCGTTGCCTTTTACGACCCGATGGGACGCCTATTCGATCGCGCACTAGCCACCAACACACTTTCGGGTTCCTCTGATGTGGGGTCAGCAGAACGCGAGGCCCTCCGCGTCAACACATGCATGAGAGACAAACGACAAACAACCATGCTCCAGGCGGCACTCGCTCGTAGCCACCAGGTCGCCCAACCAACAATTTTTTTTGCATTCGAAAGTTCGTAAAGCGTAACGTTTTCAGACTTTAACAAACAGTATTATTACCATTTTTCAAACCAGAGAGAAAAGACAAGCATGTTTTGAGCGTTTTGGTGTGAAATTATTATTGAATACCGTAGCATGAAATGTTAAACAGATTTGTTTGTGAAAGTAGTCATTGAGTTGGTTTTATTTCACGGCCGACGCTGTACACTAATGCAATTTGGGTAAAACCCGATATAACTTGGAGTGCCATATTAAAAAATGTTGCAGGAAACAAATTTTTGTACTTTTCCAGACAATAATACTTTTACTATTATGTACGTTTACATCGTACTTAATACGTACTTATTATAAAAGCAGAGGAGACCATCCTTGGAAAATACGATGTAGAAAGCAAAGAACTGATGTAGGCAAGTTCTCTTTGTGAATCGCACTATTGTAGATTGGAAATAAACTACCTGCAGAAGCACTAGAGCTCTTCCTTCCAATGTAGCCAAATTTAAAATATGCTTCATTCCATCTAGAGCATCTCGAAAATACTGACTGAGACATTTATCTTTATTATTATTATTATTGTTATTGTTATTATTATTATTTGTTATTATTATTATTGTTTATTATTATTTTTGTTATTATTATTATGTTATTATTATTATGATTTATTATTATTATTAGTCAATATTTATTAAAATCGTCCAATGGGCCCCCCCCCCTTTTAAAAATAAAAACAATTCGTTTGAAGGCTTTATGTTGAAGGAAGTGTAAGTTGTAGTGTTGTGGTAGTGTAGGAAAGTGTTATGTAAACTAGAAGTGAATTTAGAGTTAGCTAGAAATAAATTGAAACTATTATATTGACCCCCTAATTCTAATAGTAAACTCAATTGTAAATGTTTAAAATGTTTAGTAATTCTAATTTTAATTGTTATCAAGTTTGCCACCGAGCATTAGCTCAAAGCGAACTTTAATAAATCTATCTATCTATCGCTCGTAGATGTAGTTATATTCTAGGCCACTCTTCTTGGGAGGTTTGGAAACAATATTTGCTACCCTTACAAGGATGCTCCTCGTGAATGAAAACTGGATTTTCATAAACGAAGAAGATAAATAAGTAAAATGAATAATACCCATAGAGAGATGCGATTACAATAGATTCCAAGGAAAAACAGAATAGTGTTATGTCTTAGGCAGCATTTTTTATGAATATTAATATTTATATAACGTTTAGTTTTGAATCATCCAATGAGTTAAATTTTGCAATTATTCACATACTCTTGGGATTGGGCTATCAATAGAAAATATATATATATATATATATATATATATATATATATATATATATATATATATATATATATAACATTATACTATTATAGTATTGAGTTCCGAAGAGAGAGAAATGTACATACTAGATCATATCGCATATGCATATTAGCATTCTATTTCAATGTACTAGAAGAATAGCCAATTAGAAGAAAAGCTTCTAATTACGAAATCCTCTAACACAAAACTCATTTATTATTTAGTTCAGTTTACTCATGCAGGAAAAACGTTATCATTATCAGTATATTTAATACTTTTTAAACAGGAAGAATGAAAATTCAGCCTTTAATATTCAGCTCTTCCCTAAGCATTTTAGATAAGTGCTATCTTTTTGCACTGTCATACAACACTCACTGAAAAAAGAAAGGTAGGCAAAACTATATATAAGGAGATGATTGCCACAAATGTGTAAGTCCACAGGCGAAATGAAGCTCGTATTACTGTTGGGGCTCTTGGGTAAGTTACTTCCACAACCAAAACGATACGGGAGATGAAATGGGTCAAATATTGTTTTGAACAGTGGGTAAGCTACTATAGTAAGCTATCACAATAATTAGGCGGTATAGACTACGAATGAATTTTGTATTTTTTTCGTTGTAAAAACGAGAAAGACGTGTTGCCATCAATCGATTTTTCGGAATCAAGAACCCATATAACATGGATTCTTGATTCTGACGTGTTAAAATAATTTTTTTATGTTCATTAACAGGATTAATCTACTTTTTCGTTACCGGGGTCCAGAAATAAGAGTTTTTCTGCCGAAAATTAGACATTTTGCGGCGCACGATTACCTAGCTTTCTCTTCTTATGAAGTAACCGAAAAGTTCGAAACCGTCACCATGCGTGAGAACACTGGTGTTTTCTTTAAGTCCTAAGTCACATTGCAATCTTATTTTAGTATCTGTCAATAAAGAAACAGTTCTGCATCCGGAGAAACATAGTGAATCTCAAACTAGTTTTTCAAATAAAGAATGTTGCCATCTGTGTCCCTGCGGAAACGAAAATATGTAAAACATGTTTATGCCACAACCACACCTCAAAAACTGAAAATATTTAAAACAAAAATCTAGCACATGTTTGTAGAACATTGTTAAATTCTTGTAATATTCGTTTCTAAAGCAAGAAAATCCTTCAACTTATTACGAAGTCCGGCTGTTGACCCCCTTCGAATTGGTTCTGCTGGTACTGGACTGCTATTGGCATGCGATTAAAATTAGATAATTATTAGGCATATTTCAGACCTACGTAATGAATAATTTTAAACCTAATTAATGTAACAAAAATATTAATTAAATATAATTTTTAAGTGTGAATGTGTTAAATTTGAATTCAAAATATTAAAATGATATTTCCAAATACATTTTCGTCACGTATTTGAGGGAGAGGTTTTATCGATTCAGGAAAATATCATAGTTAAATTTAATTAAGTCGATGATCCTCTAAATAATCTGGACAGTGTAGAATTTGTATCAAAAATGTTCTCTTACACAGTCGGTGATAAAGTGCTTCTATCTACCGGCGTTATGCAGAATTGAAGTCTATAGAAGACAATCCTGCCACCTGAGGGGATTTCTGACAAACATGTCAGCGAAATGTGGGAGAATCCTGTCAAATTATAAAATGACATGGATGACAGGAAATAAAAAAATATTTTTTTTATATTTTTTCCTCTTAATGAATGTTACCTGATTCGCAGTCATTACAAAGCAGATACAGTACTCTACGATCTTCAGTGTTAGGTAAAAATTGACCCATACGGTATTTATTTCTTGTTATTTTCTTATCATTGTTTAATTAATACTAATATTTAATATTAATTTTAAATAAAAAATAATGTAATTTTTCATAACAGCAGAATGACAGAAGAAGTTTTGAGCCACTAATTTTCCACTGCCTACTTCTCTTCTCTTCACTAATTCTTTCATATCGACGTCGAAAACGAAGTTCAGGAGAGGTAGAGATGGTGAATATTAAAACTGGGATAATAAATCAAAGAACAAAAATCTCCCCGTCGTCAAGCGAGAAGGAATGCAAAGCAAGATTTCAAGAATTGCATCCAAACGAACTTCGGGAATGTAACATCGAGCATCCAGTCGGTGCCGGCAACTCGAAGTTTCAATTACGTATGTAGCTTTAACACAAAGTGATCAGAACTGTTCTCTTCAGTTGATCTACGAAGCATACACATTTGGATATCCTTCCTCTTCGTTGAGCAAATATGGAAACCGGAACATTGAATGATTAATTAATGATTCCGAGCGCATCTACTGCTAAGTTCATTACTCACGTAATCTAGTGCATATTATATCGCAGGAGAGGGCGGTGATCTTTCCCAAGACTGGATGGCGGGATCTGTCGCCGAACTAGGTCGGCTTGCGAGGATTTTACCCAATTAAGTATCTCCCAGCAGTGGGAGACTACCCCAGCCGGGACAAGCTCTAAACTCCCGACTGGCCTCCTGGCAAGTGTGAGAGTGTTGAATATGTGATTGCAAGTGTATGATTTGTTAGCAGAAGTGCATCAGATTTGCTATCAGAAGTGCGGAAATGTTAAACGTAAAATAGAAACACATCAAATACATCAGAAGTCAACGGTGTTCGTTTCGAAGCACCTTTTTTGATCGGAAAGATATCCGGTAAAAAAAGGGACCTCTATCGCAATAAATGGTAATGTACGTCAATGGGTCCTTTACTTTTCTTCTTCTGAGGTTAAAAATAGAGGAAGGTTATTTTGGGGAAAAAGTGTGGGGAAACAAAGTGCTTGGCTTGCCGAAACATTGTCTAATTGAACTTTAAACAGTGTATGTTCATGCAATACGCACATTCATAACAAGTGTTTGTTAGGAAAAGGGACCGAGGGTCTATTTAGGGGCAGTGGAATGAATTAAGTGCAAATTGGTAGCAAAGCAAGTTTCTTAAATGCTACATAATACGTTAGAAAAAATGAAAGTTCCCAATGAGCTTCGTGTGCTTCACCGAAAAATCCGGTATTTATTCTTAACCATTAACTATATTCATCATTGTCGCTTCGCTAGGCACTTTCGAGTAGCGGTAAAGGCTGGCATTCGGGATTTATATGAAACGATCTTCAGTTTAACGATGCATAATTTCCAACTATTTTATGCCAAAATATTTCTCACAGATACACAGGACGTCTCACACTCGGACAATTCCTTTACTTCAATCAACGTCCTGCGGCTGCTACTAGCATCAGCCGGATGCAGTCCGAAATTATCCATTCATCGTCGTTTACATAGCTTTTTTCAAAGCCTCTAGATAATTTACGAATCAACCGGAAATTCCTAACGTTAGCCATATTTCGGACTTTAACTACGGTTAAGTCGGTCCTTTTCCTAACAAACATTTGTTATGAATGTGCGCATTGCATGAACACACACTGTTTAAATTTCAATTAGACAATGTTTCTGCATGCCAAGCACTTTGTTTCCCCACACTTTTCCCCAACATACTGTAATAGAAAGGAATAGTCATCAAAACGTTGAAGTGCTGGAAACTTAGAATAAAGAGATTCAATATCGTAATTTTCGAAATTAAAACATTACAATGTCGAAAACTGCGCTGAGAGTTTATGAATATCGAATCTTTTTAACGATCGCAGGATTCAGACTTTCGAATGTTCCATCGCTAGATAATAATAATTTATTGCAGTTATCTAATTACATGTTATTGCAAGGCCTTTAATGAAGGGTATTCCTGGGCGTTTCCTAATAACAATCTCCGCCTCGCCTTGCAGAAAAAACAGTTTTTACACATCACAACTATTGAAACTATATGTATTGAATATAAACACGGAAAAGAAAGAAGTAATAAAAAATAAACCATCATTAGAAACCACACTAAGTATTTTGATGTTTTCACAGCTATTGTTGTGGTTGGTCAATATCCGCGTGCCTGCCCACGTATGCCCTCTCCAGTCTGTGGGACTTACTCCAACGGAACAAACTCTACCTTCCCCAACTTTTGTGTCTTCTCCAACCAGCAGCTTAAAGACCCAGGTAGGTCAATGAATAGTTTACGTAAACGCTTCGCCCATCCAGATTTGTTTTAAAAAAATATCCCGTTCTTCGTGGTGCAGTTGGGCTTATTATAATAAAAATTATGATCGTAACTTTAATGATAATAACACCTTTCTTTATTGCTCTTGTATGGATGGGTTTAGCGGTTTTCACTCTCTATCAATCAAAAGAAATGAGTTGTCAAAATAAATACAATTTTACGGAGAAAACAAGAATTGACATTGACTGTGTAACAGTTATTTACGATACGAGTGGTAAAAATGATATTTTATTTTGCAAAGTAAGAAAGGTTGCGACATAAGGCCGAAAGGCAGAACAACAAGAAACTTTTTCCATTTGTCATTCACTATTTTTTGGCAATCTTACTCACTTTCCTTTAATTTTAATTCAAATACAAATTAATTAGGAACCTGGTATATTACGATCAGTAGTAGCTGATGCAAAAGCATTTCGTGACCTTGGCTGCATTCACTGTTTTATGTGAATATTTGAGCATCCTGTCAAATTTAGCGCTAGTGATAAAAATTTCACGTTTTATGGCGCTACGCATGTGTGGTAATATAATGATCTTTAGGTATTGAACCACAAATGAGATTCTGTGCTACGTAATAACAAAGATTTAAAAGACACGAGATTTATTTCGTTTTTCAAGTACAATGCAGCTCTTTCCAGACACGTATCACTCACCATTAACGCCTTCTAATAATCGTTGTCTTGGGGATGTCCTTATGAACGTTTACCTAATTATTGAAGATAAACCCAATTGTAGCCAAGTGATCTTGTACAACGATGTACAATGTAGGTCATGTACAACGATGCCACACATGCTCTAAAATAGCAGATCTTACTAGTAGCTGTCTAAAAAATATATTACCTTGAAAAATATATTGAACTTGTGGTGCAAGAGAAAGTAACAGATTTTATAAATCTACATAGTTACTAGTAGCTTCCTAAGCTTTTGTGTCTCGACTAGTTTTTCGGTTTTTACCCAGCCGCCTCTTCCCATATGCCATCTATTGACACCTGAAAGATCTACCAGGAAAATTCTAGTGAAGAGCACCTTCGCACTGCGAACATTCACAACTACAGAACTATCTCGGCCCTGAATATTTGCCCAAAGTATCCCTTGGCCTAATCTGGATGCTTGTTCGATTGTACTGGGTGTAGAGAACTGAATGAGAGAGAAAGAACTACTCACCGAGAACGCACACATTGTTGTCTATCAGGCCAAGAGATTAAGGTACAGGTGCAATTCACCACGGACTCGGAATTCCCCGTCCTCATGCCAAGAACACAAATCAAAACATTAATGTCTACGCAGGTTTGGACCCCATAGTCCTAGTGACCACGTACTTTGGCGTACCTGCCGCAGCCTTTTGCGCCCTCTACGGGAAACGTTTTGGTTGGGGAAAAATAATATTTTGGGGATTTTGCGTAATAACGTTTTAATGGTTGATCTAAGCGCAAGCACAGTTATGTACAATTTTAAAGGTTATAAAATTCTCTAATTTAAAAAAAAAGTCTCTCAAGCAAATAGTAACAAAGATGTGAGATTTTAAAATTTCTCCAAATTGTCCTTGTTATTCTGAAGTTGTCCGAAATTATCAATGGTCTTTCTAATGTTGTATTTATGAATTCATGAGGTAATTACAAATAAAAAGTGATGAAATAATAATATTAAACTCGCATTTGAAAGTTCAGGTAACAGTGGAGTAGGCCTACACGTTCTGGCTACTAATAGGATTGTCTCACCTTCTGCCATGGCAAAATGTCTTAGCGACTGCACTATTTGGTCAAAATGTCACATCGTTTTATTGCCACAAGCCTTTCATAAATATGGACAAGACTTATTGGAAGAGGCACACTTTGACCCAAACATGTATATTATCAATTGCGAAAGATAAAGACTTGCTGTAGTTTATCCCGTTTCTGTCGGTTCTTCTGGGTACTTCCATTTCCTGGTAAGGGGTGGGATGAACAATATTACGAATTCAGAGATTACGTTAACTGGAATTCTATTAAAACACATTTCCCTTACATTATTTTCCCTAATTCGTCTCTTGAGTGGGGAGGGGGATACCAGAGTTCCCATATTGCTACGCTAAAGTTTTGTTTGGACTGAAGCTATATAGCTATTAAAAGGTGACCAGGAACGATTTTACGATATTTTATTTTCGTAATTCGATTAACATTTTCAATTGATTAAAAAATTGCGAACCAAAGAGTTTCCTGTGTAAATGTACGGCCGATTGCGGAAGATTAATATTATTTATCGAACGTTTTCTTTTGAAGGTCTTACATATGTTGGAGAAGGTGCCTGTGCGGCAGCTAAGAAGAAGAAGCAACCACGTCAAGACTTCAGACTACGTGCTGTTATTTTTTGACGATAAAAAGAGGATAGCTGCTATTAATATTTTGCTTACCTCTGCACTGTAGTCACTGATATCATTGCATATATAATGTGCATCTCCTAATATATTATGGTTATACCAACTATTATAGGTCCATAATATTCTGTACAATTCAACAATTCTTGAGTTACATATATCGTTACCGAAGTGAGATTATTGTTGTTATCCCTTTGCAAAGTCTATCATAATAACCTTTGAAACCGTCATATTTGAAATACATGCATGTTAATTTCGTTTATTTATGGTATTTATGATCATTCAATTCTTGATAAATAAAATGAATTGATTACTTAAGTTTTTTTGTTTCTTCAATCAATACCTGGTCAATGTTGGAGCAGTAGCCTAAGAAGAGTACACGAACCACACGCGAGCTTCCGATTCTGATCTTTAGCCCCTTCTGTCTCATATCTCTCTCTCCTTCTCTCCTCTCCTTCTCTCCTCTCCTTCTCTCCTTCTCTCCTCCCCTTCTCTCCTCTCCTCGCTCTCTCTCTCTCTCTCTCTCTCTCTCTCTCTCTCTCTGTCTCACACACACAAACACACACTCATTCACGTATCGTAATTACCACATATGTCGGGCAACCAGACGATATGCCATCTACCCCGGTTGGGGCTGTGCTCCGTCCGGAGAGATTCCTAGAGAGGAAGAACACCTTACACAGACGTGTGGGTCAGCACTGAATTTCAAGTTTTAGCAGGGAAGGATAACCTCTACTCAGCCACATTCACGGGCCAAACGCCCAAATTAGTTCACGCGTCAAAAAAACACGCAATACTCACTACAAACAGACCGGGCCAGAAGAAGTGGCTCAGGGCATCAACTGATGTCACTGCACTGCCTCTGACCGGGAGGTGCTAGACTTCCACTTCCGACGGCGGCAGGATTTTTGACACTAGCTAGATCGACTTCTGTCGAAATCTAGCAGCCGGCTGCTCTGATCGGGAGTTTTCTGTGGATTCTCCGATCAACACCCGGCGAATGCCGGATCAGGACCCTAACGGGACTCAGACCGCGCGAAATCTTTCTTTCCTCTCCCTTTTCTATCCTCACCCACCTACTTACACTCACATGTACTACATTTCCACATATGTCGAGAGGCGGTCGGGAGCTTGAAACTTGTCCCGGATGCAGCGCTGCCCCACTAGTGGGAGATACCTGGTTAGGGGAATCCCCGCTGGCCGAAGGTAGATCGGCGCCGGATCTCACCATCCATCGGGGAAGATCACCGCCAGAGTTCGCTCAAAAACATACAATACCCTTAGGGGACTAATGGCTTTATCAGTTGCACCCGGATCTCCAATCAATCAATCTCTCAGATGTGGCTGCATTGGGTCTGGTGGGCGCAGGGAGTTTGGTGAGGGCAATGGTTGGGTAGGTGCAGTCAGAGTGGAGCGGGGTGTGTGCGATTGGGAGGATGGTAGACCCGATGGACACTGATTGTACGGTGAGGTTTTACCTCTCGAGGAAAAACACGTACTACACTAAGCAGTTGGCGCGCCGGCAATCACTAATCTTTCAATCATATACATTCAGACCGGATCTGGCGTTGGCTATCTGCAATCGTTTCGGTTGAATGACATTACTGTTCGCAAAAGATGTCACACCCGAAGCCAAAGTAAGATATGTTGTGCGAAGGTGACTACCCGCAAAATACAACTTTTTATGCAGGAGGTGCTTGCAAACTAGTGCCTCGACGCAACGTTAGAAGAATGCTGCGGGTGAAAGGTGGCTGCATTGAAAGGTGACTAAAAATGTGCTGATTTTGTACCTAATTTTGGTATTTTACCTATCACTCGTACACTTTCTGCTATATATGCCCACACCTTATTAAAATGGCTCGTATCTGAATCATAACTTCTAAAGTAATTTCATTAATTATGTTGTTATGCTTATTTTACATGAGTCAATAATAATTCATTGATTGAAAAATGAAGGTTCTTTAAAGAATATGTTCCGTATTTACATCTGTTCAATTTATGATAAGGTATCTACAGTGGAAGCTGATCAAGTTTGTTCAGTTTAGTCGATTATGTCGATTCTACGCATTTTAGACATATTTCCGAAAATAATATAACCAATGACCCTTAAAAATCTTTAAAATTTTCAGAAATCTCCCCGACACAATTTGGCAAAAAAAGTTCCCTTGTGCCTGGCAATGCCGCTCCCAGTCCCCAGATTCAGTTGTTGCTCCTGACGCTGACATCTAGCGGCGAGAAGGTAAACTAAAAAGACTTATCGCCACTGACGCAGTTATCTAGAGCGCTGTCTGCTGCTAACAGTCAGGTTCCTTCAATGCCTACGTGTTTTAACCCATCTTCTGAGCGGCAAGTGACTTATTAAAAATGCGGTATATACAGACGATTAGTATGACCTTTATATCCAATTTCAACTCGCATCACTAAAATCAGCAATTGCAGTAACATTGCTTTCTTCTATCAACAGGTCACACCAGTTGGGCGCATTTTCATAAACTCTTATTTAACTATAGACGTGTAACGAGTCGAATATGACATCAAGATGATGTTTACTATGTTCACGGCCTACTTGGCACTGGAATACAGAATTTGCAAATTCAGATGCTTTTGGGACGGGCAACATTCATGGAAATATCGAATCAACAACTAGAACAAAGGTAGAAGTCTTACTGAACGGACAAAAGTTTGTAGATGGACGAGAGTTTTCTCATAAAAGATGGAATGTGTGTTGAAACATGAAGAAACATTAAACGACTTAAAGTATTGACAAGGCATACATTGTTTATAATGCTGAAGAGGTTTCGAGATCTCTGAATAAAGACGAGGTTTTGTCATCTTGTGAATTTAAGCGAGAAGGTCTACTTTCTAAAGAATGAACGAACTGTGGACATACTCAAACAAATTTTATAGTTGTTGGTTTTTTATTTTAATTTACCAGTTGTGTAAATATTCTATTTTCATTTTATCTATCACTATTATCTATTATCTATTATTATTATTATTATTATTATTATATTATTATTATTATATTATTATTAATATTGTTGTTGTTGTAAGTTAATTTTTCTTTTGATTTTAAAATTGAAAATGTTTTTAAATTTAATATAACAATAAGTTACCATTGTTCAAATCTACTGTGTATGTCATAGAATAATCGACCCTACAAAAAAGGTCTATTTATGTTTTCTATTCATGAATTTAATTCATTGAAGGTAAAATTAGAACAGACGCGAGTGGAACTGGGAGCTAACTTTTCTTAATAACTTTCCTAATGATCTCTTTCTTTTATTTAGTTAATAAATTTTTCTTTTGTTTCCAACAATGCTCAGGATATCTGTATTTATTATTCATCTATGGACAGTAAAAGAGGTTAAGGATTCCAGAGTACAAGAAAACGTGCGAAAATCGTAGAATACCGTGACTAGATAAAAAAAAGAACATTGTGACATTTTCTTTATCTAAAAAACGGGACACATGCATTTTGTGTTTTTTAACTCAAAACTCATCACTACTCACTGGTAATGAACGTAAACTACACTTTTTGAACATTAATGGAAATAAAAACAAGTAAAAAGAAAAGAAGTCTACAAATTTAATTTATTGAAAGTATTTATTTTTAGGCATAACTTTTTGTAAAAGTGGTGTATTATTTACAACGTGAACGTGACGTTCAACACAGGACAATAGTCTCGGCTTAGGAAATAGGCTTCCTCCTCCGAACGCAACAGTAGCGACTTGCGAGGGCTGCTACAGGGAATTTGTCCGTTCATAGCGTTCATAATGCGATTTTTCTGATCGTGCCCCTGCCAGGTATCCGCTGTTGACGGTTTCACACAATCTGGAACTAGAACGTCCCCATAGTGACGTGCACGGTTAGAAAAAATGGACTATAATTTAAAATCACGTGTCAGAATATACAATTATCAAATTACTATGAAAATACTAACATATGGTACATCACTGCATTCCCCTTTTTGTGATCTATCCATTGCTGAAAAGAAAAATAGAATTCCGTTTAAAAAAATAGAAGATTATTAAACTTCTCAAAACCTAAAACTATTTCAAACAATGTCTCTGGGGCATATTTCTTCCCCCATGATTCCGCGTTGTTCAGTGAAAAGTCATGCATTTCGATATCATGAACAGTTTAGAAGTTATGGGGTGGCCCGTAGTTTTTGACGCTTTCAACATTTACCTCTTTTTACTGGAATTACATGACCTAAGACTTTTGACATCACTAAGTGTTCTTGTATAGAACCGTATTTGTGAAAAGTTTTAAGTAATAGTGTTAGTAACAGTTTCATTAATAGTAACAGTTTTAAGTAACATATACATAAATAGCGTATTCGTAAGCAGGGTTTACAAGAGAAACTAGACAGCCCATGTGTTGGTAACTGTTTTGTTGTTAGTAGACAGATCTCTGGAGCTGAAGGTTATCAACATGTCGCCGCTTAACTGTTTCTGATAAGATGTATACTAACATGCATAGAAGAGATTCAAATGAAAACTACTCAGAATGCATTTTGAAGTACTTTGTTTGTTTTGAGTGAAGTATTTATCGTGACTGACTTCATATTACTGTTAATTATCTCCTGAAAATAACTAGCGAACTTAGAACCTTGCGTACCTTGTCATTTCACAACATATTACAATTTATTTACTTTTTTCGATAATCAATATACTATAGTATCTAATCTAGAGATATATTGAAATAAAACTAGCTGAACGCGCAACTTCGTTTGTGTGGGGTCTTTTTAGTATTACATGGGATGTATAGTATTTAGAATGAAGATGTTAGTATAAAGAATTAAAAAAGTACAAATACAGTGTGAAGATATTCAATTATTTGACAATTTTATAATAATAAATCATAATGCACGGAATGTATAGTAAACGTTTTCACATACTAAGTTTTACTTTCTGGCATTATCATGTACGTACTGAAAAGGAAATATCTGCAGAAATATGTGATTTTTCGAGAGAAAAATCTGTCCACCTGTGGCAACTCAATCGTTGAGCGGATTTTCTCCGAAATTGGCATTCCTCAGTCAATCTAAACGAACTCAACGTCCTTCGAGTTTCAAACTGATGTTTCCATTTTGGGGGGTAATGTACAAGAAGCATCAATTAGATATTCAAACTTTTCTCAGAAATGGCTTCAAATTCTTGGAAAAAGCTGTGTCCTTGGGTAGCGTAAAGGACACTTCAAAAGAAAGGCTCAGATATCATTTTTGTGGGAATCCCTGATTTTTTGAAAATTGCGAAAGTTCAACAGTTTTTTCGGCATCATCCTACAACTGTTGGACTGAAGACAGAAATGTGTTTTGTTAATAAATTTGATATAAAAAAAACAAGTCTTAACAGATTACGTTCAAGTTTAAAAAATATGAGTGGTAGTGAACCGTAGGTAATTTTTAAACAATTTTAAATAATAATTTTTTAAAACACGATCCCAATTTTTTTCTTTATTTTTTTCCTGTGTAGCAAAGAGCGGTAAGAGCGGAGTGCTGGTGGTTGTTTTCGGCGAATTCTCTAGATTTTCGAAAATTGCGAACAAAAACAACGTTAACATTGCAAACGTTCTGTATGAGTAGTTTAGCTTTGAAATTGCTAATTCAAATTTCCCACGCTATTTGTTGGTCTTTCACGACATATCAGATTGGAATTCAACAATAGCAACGCCGCGCCGCATTACGGCAATTTGAAATTTTGAAAATTCCTTTTCATTTTGAGAGATTTTGTAGTAGTATGAAACTCAGTTTTAATTTTCAAATTTGTTTTGGTGTATTAGCTTTTAAAGAATATTAAATAATAATGTTCGCACCTTATGTTCAATAATTTATAATGAGTTTTACACCTGGTTGCTGACAATATGATAATATGGCAGCAAATTGTGGTATTATATTATGACGTAACCGATACTAAGTGCGAGAAAGTATGTGCCGTTGGAGCACCACTAGTTTAAGATGAGATGTGCTTGTGGCTGAGATAACGAGCTTGGCAAACCCGATCAGCAGTGAAAGAGATAAGGGGCAAGAAATCTCTGCACTGTATTAACAGTTGCACGATTTTATTTTCCCTGTCGACATCAGAATGAAGTTGCTGTGTCTTTTTCTCTTGAGTAAGGTTAATAATGTAACTTTAATTGATACAAAAATGATCAGAACATTAATTTCAAGTACTAAATTATATCTGAATGTTTATAAGAAAATTTGAATTGTTTGTGTTTGTTATGAAATTTCCATTCATTTTCTCGTAACATTACTCAACGTTAACAAGTAAATACATGTCTAATTTTTGTGTTATACAGTTGGTTGTTACTAAATTATATTTTCTTATAAATGAATTGTTCTCTATCTCAGAATGTAATGCTGCCTTGAAAACCTTTCTTGCCTTTTTATAATATTTATATTTCAATATTAATACGTAGTTTGTTTCTAACGAATTTTCCTCGGACGTTAATGCTGATTAGAATTCATTTTTATGATTGAATTACGATGATTGAATGTATTTTGATTGACTGTATTTTGTTGATTTAAATGTATTTTCCGAGGCGTCATTGGCGGTGCTCTCTGCAACGAAAGCGTGTCCTGTGAGGCTGCGTGTGATCCTGTGTGCGGCCTCCTGCCAGATGGGAGCCTCCGAACGTTTTGCAACAGTTGCAACATGAAGGCCTACGCAATCGAAAACAACATAAGTAAGTATTATTCGTACTGACCGAACAGGACTATGTCAAAAAAAATGCGAATGAGCTTAAGCACGAGTT